CCTCTGACCGTACTTGGCGGCGATCTGCGGGTGCTGCGCCAGGAAGGCCTGCAAGGCCTGCTGGCCCTGTGGCGCGAGGGACTCGTCCTCGATGACAATGAACTTGGCGCCGTCGGTGCTGGCGAGCTCCGCCCACTGCTGCGACTTCTTCGCCGCCCCCTGCTTGGCGGCCTGCCCCTGCGAGGCGGCCACGTCCAGGTTCGCCTCGGCCTGGGCGGGCTGCTCCTTGAGCTGGTCCACCTTGTTCTGGCACTCCTTCTTGTGCATCGTGGCTCGCTGCAAGGCCCTCTTGGCCAAGCCGACGTCGTGGGACAAAGCGGGGGCGGCGTCGGGCTCCGCCTCGCGCTCAGGCGAGGTGCATGCTGCAAGGTACTGCTCCTTGAACTTCGCAAGCCGCGGTGGTCCGGGCAGCCCTTGGAGCGCCCCCGGGATCTTCTGCAACTGGGGATCTCCAGGTGCCGATGCGCCACTGTCGACGCCGTTGCCTGGCTCGTCGCCCTGGAGTAGGCGGTTGCCGCACCTGCGCAGCGGGTCCTTCCTCGCGCGCGCCAGCCACTTCCACTTGCTGCAGACGTCGCACACCACGTATTGCTTGTTGGCTGCATCGCGCCCTCCTTCAGCTCCCTTCCCATGTCCGTTTCCATTTCCCGCCCAGCTGTTCCAGCGCTTGCCCCAAGCTCCATCCTGGCGGCGCCAGGCCATCCGCGCCGACTGAGCCTGTGAAAGGGGCTCGGGTCGACTGGCAGGCGAATGCCGCGCAAGCTGGAATCGCCCTCACTGCTGGCCGCGCTTGGGCGAGGTTGGGAAGTTCAGGAGCAGGCCCCTTGAGTCAAAATGGCTACGGCTCCTCCTCCTCCCCCTCCTCCTCATCCTGCTCTTCCTCCTGCTCCTCCTGATCCTGCTCCTGCTCCTCCCCCCCCTCCTCCCCCGCCCTCCCCCCCCTCTCCCCCTCCCCCTCTCCCGTCTCATCCCCCCTCCCTTTCCTCCTTTTCCTCCTCCTCCTCCTCATCCTCCTCCTCCTGCTCGTCCTCATCCTCCTCCGCCTCCTCCTCATCCTCCTCCTCCTCCCCTTCCTCCTCCTCCTCTTCCTCCTCTACCTCCTCCTCCCCCTCCTCCTCCTTCCTCATCCACCTCCTCCTTCTCCCCCTCCCGCCCCCCCGTCCCCCTCCCCCTCATCACCCTCCCCCATGCCTCTCTTCCTCATCCTCCTCCCCCTCCTCCCCCTCCTCCTCCTCCTCCTCCTCCTCTTCCTCCCCCTCCTCCTCCTCCTTCTCCTCCTCCTCCTCCTCATCCTCCTCCTCCTCCAGCTTGTCCTCCTCCTCCTCATCATCCTCGTCGTCCTCCTCCTCCTCCCCCTCATCCTCCTCCGCCTCCTCTCCGTGGCCATTTTGGCTTAAGGTTTTGTGTGTTCCCACGGAAACGCATGGGTGCCGCTAGTCCGCAGCCAGTGCCAGGGCTGTTGCAGCCCGACAGCCCTTTCATTCACCTGCCACCCTCAGGCCCGCAGGTGCCCCCGCCCCAGGTCACAGGGGCCGGTCGATGGCGCCATCTGGCCACCGGCAGAATCGCATTCAGAATGCGCATGCTTGGCTCTGCAGGTGGTGTACGAACGAGAAGACGGGCGAGAGATGGTGGAATCGGGCGGATTGCACGCGCTGCAAGGCGTACAAGCTCGCCAAAAGTGCTGCCTACTTCGGCCCGCGCCCACCCGCAGGAGGCAAATGGTCGAGCGCGTCGCAGGCCCCTCGGTCTCTTGCTGCCGAGCGACGCGCTGCCGCCGAAGGTGGGCGTCTCAAGGGGGGGGGCCGCCGCCAAGGATCGGGAGATTCAGGATCTCAAGAAGCAGCTCGAGGCCTCGAGGCAGTCTGGTGGTGGGTCAGCGGCCATGCAGGTCGACAGCTCTGGTGACACGACCGCTGGCTCGGAGTCCGACGAAGCGGTGCTCGGGCGGCTCACTGCCGCCATCGCCGCCATCGGGGGCGCCCCGGACGAGCTCCTGGCGTCGCACAAAGCTGCGATGGTGGCGGGGCAGGATAGGCTCAGGGCCAATATCCTGGCCGACAAGCCGATCGGCGCCCGCCTCCACCTCCTCACGAACCGCTGCGCGGCGCTCGAGAAGAAGAAGGAGCGCCAGCTCGCAGCCCTGGACAAGCTCCATGCGCAGATCCACGCGATCCAGTTGTCGGTCGCCGAAGCGGAGAAGGCGCTGCTGGAGACGTCCAAGGAGCTTGTGGCCGCCGAGGCGGACAGGCGAAGCGCTGCGGCGCTGGCGCCCTGCCCAGAGGCTGGGGTCTACTCCCTCAAAGCGACGATCCCCGCCCTGGACCTGTCGGTCGCCGGCGTTGGCAAGATGCTGGAGGCGATCGGTGCGGCTTCGTCGTTGGCCGAGTCGATCCAGGCTAACTTCGCGAATCTGCGTGAGCTCGATGCTGCTGCAGCGGCGCGGAGCCGCCCGCAGGATAGAGCTGCTCCAGCCGAGGCGCCTGCCAACGCCGCGGCGAGCTGCGCAGGCCCCAGGGATGATGATGACGCCGTGCTGCCCCCTGTCCCTGCGGATGATGGCGATCTGGCCGAGCTGCAAACCTTCTACCGCGAGGTCTTCGACGCCGAGCCCCCTGGCTGCGAGGAGGGGCTGCGAGGACACATCGAGCTGTTCGGCGAACAGCTCAGCAGGGCGTCGAAGAGGCCAAGCACCGCCAACAGGCAAGCTGTGGCTGGGCGTCTCTATCCTGCTGCAGCTCCTCAGCTCCGCTGGTGCGATGCCGAGGTGCCACGATGGGCATGTGCTGCCCGTCCACATGCTCCCGCAGGCGGCAGCCGCAGCCGCGGGAGAGAATGCGGTCCCTGGGGCAAGGGGCGCGGCCCTTGCTGCCTCTCGGCCTGCGTCTTCGGCGTCTTCAGGGCTCGGCGGCGTAGCTATGGCTGGTGCATCCTGTGGTGCCGCACTCACCCGTGACGCTGAGGGCACCAGCAGCCTGGGGCACCTCGCGCGAACGGGCAGAGAGGTCAGGAAGGCACCAGCACATCATCGTGGTCGTCGTGGAGATGCCAGTTTGCTCCAGCAGGCAGCTGACGCTGCAGCTGGAGATGGGGCGGACCCTGGGGCAGGGGACGCGGCCCCAACATGCGAAGCGGCAGCTGGAGATGGTCATGCGCCCAAGTTCCACCTGCCAGACTACATGTCTCCGAGATCGGGCGCCGTGGTGCTCGGGGCGTCGGGGGCTCCCTCGTCCAAGCCCTTTGTCACACGCGGTGGTGGAAATTTATCACCCACAGTGCCAGGTCATAGTGGCGTCTCGGGCAGGTCGGGCACACCGAGTCCGATTCGAGGAGTGGTTACAGCTAACACATCCTCCCACGGACCGCTGTTAGATATGTTGAGCAGCCACTGTTTTGATAGTTATCTGAAGTTGGTGCAGGAGCACCACGCGAGAGGAGATCGTTTTGCTAAGTTGCAGTCCAAGGCGGCCGCCATAGGCTTCCGAGGTGCGTGGACGGAGGCGGCTGACACAGGCGGAGGAGGCTCATGCGGTGGTGTTCACGTGATCGCCCCTGCTCATGTTCTGGTCTCAGTCCCTCCTCAGCGCGCCCACCACGTGCTGATCCATGGGCGCCTGGCGGCTGCGCACGCCCACTGGGGCCGTGCAAGTGGCATTGTCCTGCTCTCCGTGCACGTAGCTGTCGGAGAGGGCCATGGGGCCCAGAACCTGGAGATTGCGCAGGCGGCCGTTGACTACGCCAGCCAGCGGTCGCGCCAGGGCATTGCGTGAGTCATAGGCGGGGACTGGAACATGGAGGGCGACCTGCTGGACGACTGGTTCCACGCGGCAGGAGCTATCCGAGTAGCGCCCCTGGTGCCCACATGTGTGCAGTCGCCCCCAGGCACTGTGCGCGACTTCCGATTCGTATCCTTGTCCCTTGCCCCTGCCGCGGGTGAGCTGACCGTCGAGGAAGGGACCAACCTCTTTCAGCACCAACCCGTTCTTCTGGAGCTGGGCATGGCGGAGAGAAGCACGCGTCGTCGCGAGCCTGATGAGCCGCAGAAGTTTGGAGTTGAGCCGAAAGTTGGCTGTGCGAGGTTCCCGCCAGTCGAGGAGCGGGCCCAGATCCAGTCGCTCATCAGCCACGCCGCTTCTGAAGATGATTTGGCTCATCGCTGGGGCGGCGTTCTTGCAGGCATCGAGCCTGAGCTCTGCGACCGCAACGACATCGTGAATGCCCCAGTGCGGCATAAGTTTTGTGGGCGTGCTGGCCCACCTTCGTATTCGTGGACGCCGCTGCTGAAGCAGGCCCCCCCTCTGCCGAAGGCGGAGCTTGCGTGGCGAACGCTGGGCCGATGGTTGCGTCACTTGCGCTCGGTCCGCACCGAGTTGCCGCAGCTTGCCGTCGAGTATGCATCCGACCCCGCGGATGACATATTGGAGCAGGTATCCACGCAGTCCTATTTCCTTCAGGGGTTTCTGAACCGCATACGCAAGTCGGCTTGGGTGCTGGAGGGGCCCACGGAGTCCATCAGGGAGTTCTTTGTGGACGTACCTGGCAGCTTCAGCAGTGCGGGGTTCGACGGCGTCGCCCGGGGTTTCCTTGATGGGATCGAGGTCAAGCTGCGCGAGTTTGCTGATGCTTCACGGGCTGGCTGGAAGCAGAGGGTCGAGCAGGCGTTTACCAAGGGTGCAGGAGCTGCGCACAAGTTCTCCCGCGCGCGTGAGGTGCAGGAGCTGATTGCGCAGACGTCTCGCCCACAGCCGTTCCAGCAGGCAGACGACTGCCTCGCGGAGTGGGAGGAGATCTGGAAGATGCACAAGTGCGAGCGAGTGGGCTTACCTAGAGATCACCATGACTGGGAGGCTTTGCCTGAGATCTCAGTCGCCGACCTCCGCAGGGCCTGCGCTACGTTCCCTTGTAAAACAGCTCTAGGCCAGCTCGGCTTGAACCTTAGGTCCCTGCTCGCAGTCCCCGATCAGTGCTTGCAATCGGTGGCTGATCTTTTCATGGCCTGCGAAAGGCTCCTTGCCTGGCCTGAGTCTCGGATCCAAGCCCGTTTAGTCCGCTTGCCCAAGCCCTCTGGAGGGCATCGGTTGATTGCGCCTTTAATCTCTCTGCTCCGCCTTTGGGGGCGGGTGAGAAAACCTGTCTCCCAGGCCTGGGAGAAGGCCAAGCGTGACCCTTCTTTCTGGGGCCATGGCCCAGGGGCTAGTGCGTCTGACGCAGCCTTTGACCACAATATGGAGGCGGAGGCGGCCACGGCGGCGGGGGAGTACTCTGTGAGCGTTTTCTTGGACATGTTTAAATGATACGAATGTGAGATAGTAGAGCGACTGTTTGCCGAAGCCAGGAAGGTTGGATACCCGCTTCGGATGATGTGGATGGCCCTTGCATCCTATCGGTGCCCGAGGGTGATCCAGGCGTTCGGTTCCGTGTCGCGGCAGGTGGTGACCAACCAGGGCATCCTTGCTGGATGTAGCCACGCCAATTCCATGATGCACGTGCTTCTCCATCGTGTAATTGTTAAGATGAAGACCCTTTACCCCAGGGCCAGGCCTAGAGTCCTCATGGATGATTCCAGTTTCCAGTGGGTTGGCAGGCTGTTTAAGTTTAGTGAGATCCTACTTGCCGCGGTAAGATGGCACTGCAGCCAGGTCTTTCAGCTCGGTTTAATCCTCCAAGCGGCCAAGAGTGGGTACGTGGCTACGGCGGTGAAA